GTAGCAGCGAAAGATTTGGTGAACAGTCGAGATTTCTTGAAAACCCGAGATTTTACGATCTTTCATTTGAGGTGGTATTGAAAGATTAACTTGTCACGCCAGAAATTAGGACTATCGAAGGTCATATGAAAGATTTATACTTGACTATACGGTCATCATATTCTATTGTCAGACAAACGTTTTTGAAATTAACCTACTTTTGGTCTTATTTTATCTTCTTTGTCGCTAATATTCAGACCACTTGGGTTGCAAAAATCCTGTATTTGTTTTGGTTGACAGAAACGGAGACTACACGTGCCTGGGGGTACTGTTCTCTCGTCCCACGAGGCTGACAAACATGGCCCATTTAGGGAAAGGTACCCCCCACCTCTTCCCCCCCTCCTGTACTAACAAGATATGTTTTAACTAAACAACAAACAGACGTTTCAAACAACAAGAACATACTCTATGGGCTTCAATGATAAAGTTTACCAGAGTCACCTATTTTTTATATACATTTACTTCAAATTTAAAGTTAGTTGCTCTAAACCCTGTCAGTGTTCTGTAATTAGTAGATTGTTTATTAGCCATAAAAATGCATCAATTTCAAACAATATACTAGTTAATAGAGACAAGCCCACAGTATGACCTGCAATCAGGCATCTTCCCCCCTCCCCGCTGGGTTTGAATACAGGGGGGATGGGGAGGGTATGATCGCAAGTTACCCACCTTGTGAGTACCTGATTTATATGACCACCTCAGCATCATGACCACTTTTGTTTCCACTGAAAAAAAAATCTGTCAATCAGTCTTGTCTTGTCTTTTCTTTCATCTAATCACACGTGACCACTGCGACAATACAACATGGTTTTGGAAGGCGCACCAAGATCAGATTTAGTAGGATCCATAATAGTTTCAAAGTTAATCCCAGGTGTATAAGGGGAAATTGGATTGTTACCCCAAGGGTTTTTTCAGAATTCTGAAAACACGATTCACTTTGTGACAGTGAAACTTTCGGAAATGGTTCATTTATTCTGTTTTAAAATTTTGATGTACTGATGTCATCTTCATCTGTTTCCCCATATCATTTGACACTACCATAGTAGGTAATGGTATTTGAATTTTAGTTTAAGCCAACTTTGATCTTTTGTTGTTTTTTTTTATATAGTTTTCTTAAGCTGCATTGCCCAATTAGTACCTTAATCTTTATATTTCGATATTAGTTTGAAGTAAGTTTTTTAATCGGTAATTTGTACATTATTTCAGATCCGAAGATGACAGATCTAAGATAGTAGACTTACGATATGATGTCACCTGATATCATATGACACATAATTGACAAGTAACTTCTTATCTTGTTCAAACTGAGGACTATCAATGAAATGGAAATAATTTTGATATACTTTATTATAATGAAAACTAAAGGGGAGGGATTTCCCTTTTACGCCTGTCCCCTCCTTGTTTCATAGTTTGTGGTGAGAATTTTCCGAAGTTATCCAAAAGGTTTTGATGAGTCCAATTATAATGAAAAACTATGGGGAGAGAACCCTTTTATACCTACCTTGACCATTTTTCCACAGTCTGTGGTCACCATGGTAATTTTTCAAAATTATTGATCAGAAATAATTTTGATGCAGTCTATTTGTAACAAAAATCTAGGGGAGGGCCCCTTCCCCCTCTTCCATCTTTTTGTCACAGTCTGTAGAGGTATGAGTTTGCTGATTGAAATAAATTATTATAAATATTATTCTCATAAGGTCAAATAATAGGTATCATAACATTTTGAAAAATCCTTTGAGTACATGTACATTGTGTACATCGTTTGGTGTTTTTATTGTCAATTACACTTAATGTTTCAAAATTGTGGATGTCTCTTAAAAGTTAAATGATTATTGTTCCTTAACAGTATATCAGTGGGTTTAACAGGCACCAAGCTTGGATGTAGTGAAGGAGGCTGTGGAGCATGTACTGTCATGATCTCCAAGTACGATCATGAAAATAAGAAGATCAAGTATCCTTTTAAAGTGTAGACATCAACTTTGCAATCAACTCATTACAGGTCTGTAGCTACAGTGTATAGTAATGGATGAAGCAAGGCACTTGCCTTTGTAATTTTTCTTTTTTTTTTTTTGTTTATTACAAGTATGCAGTAAAAAGTAATAAATTGATATAAAAGGAGTAGAGTTTTTTTTATATATTGTCTCAGAAAATAGCACTTAATGGGTGGAAAAACCTTTTTGTTGCTGTAAGAATTTTAGTCTGAATTGCATGTTTAGTCTGAATGTCCATTAATTGAATGTTTGAATTGAATATTGAATGTTTACAGAATTGTAAGTTTGATTTGCATAACTGAATATATATCCAGAATGACTGTTCCAACTTAAGGTCATTCCTCACATTTGCATTG